GAGGGGCAGTTGCGATGAGCCCTGCGCCTCCGGCGAAAGACACTGGAGCCTTTCTCCTGGAAGAAAGAGAGGGAGCGAGTGTTCAGACTGTCAGGACTTTATTGTGGCCGCCCTCAAGAGCGCGTGTGAAGCCCACATCTAGTCTTGGACTTGACATTTCTGTGGTATAAGTCCAGCTATTAGACCTTGCTTTTTGCTTTTCCCCCAGCTTGGGCGTTGCAGTTAAGCTTGGAGGGACAGACCACGGGGTGCTCTGTCCTGCCCTGGCTAACGGGGGGGGGAAAAATCCACCTGGAGAAGCTGCTATTCCTTAGCTGGCAATCTCGAAGGGATTTGAGCAATGTTAGACTGGTTACAGCTTCATGCTGGCCAGCCAGCTTGGTAAGTGTTGCTGCTCTTGACTTGCACGCTAAGCTCTAGCTTTCCTTCCTGCAGGGGTGAAGAAGAAAGCCAGCTACATCACTCCGGTCCCTGGGGGAGTTGGGCCCATGACAGTCGCCATGCTGATGAAGAACACCATCATTGCTGCCAAGAAGCTGTTGAAACCCAAAGAGCTGGAAGCGTTAACTGCTTAACGTGGGACACTCTCTCTCTAGCACTGAAAACGACATTCCAAACTGACTCCCAAACAGGCCGATAGAAAATGCAATATTTTTATTTATTGTATTGGAAGTGGAATTTCCTATTCTGAGGTCATAGGTACTTACTTGAAGCTGAAGCATATGCACATTAGTTGTACTAAGGTGTAAGCATCTACACTCCTGGCCTACTCATGCTAGCAAAGCTGCTTTATATTTAAGCTAGCTCTTCTAGGAAGCCGGCCCTGCTCCTGCAGGGACTAGGCAGCGGGCGGGAGCCTGGGCGCACAGCTCCCCTGGGAGCTCGGTGGGGCGTTGGCAATCCCATGGGAGGGAGAGCCGCCGCTTCACGGTGCAAAAGCAACGGCCTTCATGGCTCTGCTCTCACAGAGGCTCAGTCTGCCCGGGCTGCTCGCGTTTGACTCGCGCTGAAGTCTTCTACTCAACGCTGGATGTTTCGTTTGACTTAAGCTCTTCTGTAGAAGAAGTCACTTGGGAAAAAACAAAACAAAACAAAAAAAAAAAAAAACAAAAGCCGTATGTCTGTTCTCAGCCTGCGCAGGGCCCTGGGCAGGGGCAGATCTGTTGTAACATGTTCTTCTGGTGCAGCTAAGCTGGTTTTTTTGCTATTTGGATGGTGACTTTTTTAAAAGCCTTTTTTTTCTAACCAAAGAACAATGTGGGGGCTGTTGGCGTCTACACTGGGCACACAGGAGGTTTCCTGGACTGTATTGTAAAGCGTGCAAGTACATAGTGAATAATGCAGGCTAACTCGAAATAAAGTATGAGGAGAAGAAAAACACCCTACTTGTGTCCTAGAATTATTACTAGGCAGGTTTTTCACTTCTCCCAGAAAAGGAGAGCTGCCCTCAGCAATAGTTTATTGAAGCACTTGTGACACGAGCTCCCTCTTGTCCCTACAGAGCAGGGTTAGGTCTGGCTTTTTCCCTGAGTTTAGCTAAGACACAACTGCTACACGCATCACCAACTTGGCTGAGAAGTAAGACAGTCTCTTACTTCCACATCTGAACAAAACCTGTTGAGCTCCTGACTCTGTTTCCAAACTACATGACAGTATAAACTCAGCCCTCTAATGAGTTAATTTGCAAGCTCTAATTATCCATTGAACATCAACCTTACCTGAGGTTGCGATGCCTCGGGCAGGATGGAAAAACTTACAGGCGGTATCGTCTGTGGGCAGCGAGGTAAGTCTTGGACTCCTTCCTCTTCGCATATTCCCTGGAAAGACTGATCCCACCTTTCCGGGAGCGGGAAAGGTTTGTTGTGACGCTAAAGGGCTGTTGGTGAGTCAGCACTAACCCCACATTCCTGGCCCTCTCCTGGAGGGGAGAGCGCTTATAAAAACACTAAACAAGGGGGAAGAAAGCTGAGGTTCAGGGACTCTGCACCAGAAACACACTAAGAGCTGAGACTCATTGAAACGAGGTTTATTGGGTTGTATCACCGAGAAATACAAAATGGCTAAAGTGGTACTGTAATGGAGGTGGCAAATCTGAGACGCTCCACTGTTTTCATATACAAAAAGTATAAACCATGTGTGAACCTTGCAAAATGAACAAATTTAGTCAAAACAAGCTGGATGCTAGAGTGGCTTCAGCTCTGCTCTATGAAACATCTACCAGAGTCCGCAAAGCCTTTCCGGGGGTGCTGCCTAGTAGAACTGACGTACTGGATAAAGCAAATTAACCTGTTTGATTAAAATCATAAGCCTACCTGTACCACACTTCAGCTACCGCACAGGAGATTGGTACAAAACGCTACAAAATAGACACGATGCGTTCAAGTTGAAATAATTCTTAATGTTAACGTCAAGCTACGTGGCTGCCACTTAAGTGGTGGTGGGAGTAATACCGTGTTATTTATCTCGCCACGTTCGCCCAGGAGGTGTACCTGAACCAGAAAAAATTGCTATAAATAGGAAACTGCCTTCAAGTCTTTGTTGGACTCGACTATTTACAGAGAACTGGGATCTGTCCCACGCAAAGGTTCAGACCAGTTGCAATATTTAACTGGTGTCCCAGAAACCCCCCCCTATGACTGGTATAAATATCAGGTAGGATGTTTCTGCTCAGGGGAAGGGTTGGGGCTCAGTGAGGCTTGAGATAGAGTAAAAAAGAATCCATCTAGCAAGAATGAGTAAAAGAAAGAGATTTGAGAGGGTTGCTTCAGACCAGCGTTTCTAAACCGCAGCTGGGCTTAGTCCGTGGAAGGGAAAAAGAACCTTTAAGAGCCTCATGGCTTCCCTGGCGCTGCTGGAAAAAAAGATGGTGAGAGCTGGGCAGAGCCAAACAGAGCTCGGTGCCCGCGCTGGCTCCTAACCTGCTCCCTTCCCTTCCTTTCCCGGAGAACCCAGAGGCAGCGGCGGGTGGGAAGAGCCCTTTACGGAGCCAAAACGCTGACGGAGACCAAGCGGGGAGCTGCTGGATGCGAGCCCGAAAGCACAGGTAGGTAACGTGGCGGGGGATGCGCTTGCTCTCCTCTCCCTGTTACGAGCCGCTTGCTGGTAAACCACGAGCAAATAACCAGGATCGAGGAGCTAAAGTGGGTGCAAAGCCCCCTGCGCTGGGGCTGGGCAGGCGGAGCAGGCTCCGCCAGCGAGATAAGGGCTTGGGCACGTCTCGCTCCCATCCGGAGGGAGAGATAGG